TANATCTTCTCTCTCTCTCTCTCTCTCTCTCTCTCTCTCTCTATCTCTCTATCTCTCCCTCTGTCTCGTTACGCTGCACGCGTTTCGACGATTCGACATACTCGAATTTCACGCGATTCTACGGTTACGAGCCCGCGATATCTGCGGCTCGATCAATTACGCGGCAGATATGACCACGATAAGGATGCGTAATTGCCGCCTATCTCGAGAATTTTGTTTCGAGCGATATAAAACGCGAATCATATCTGCGCATACCAGTTTTCACCGGCGCGAAATTAATAAAATGCCCGAGCGAACGTAATCGATTCGTACGCGACATTGCCTCGACTGGAGTTATCGATTTTTTGACTTTTTTTTTCTTTTACTTTTTTTTTTTTCCTTCCTTTTTATTTTTATTTCCTTACCATACCGTGCTCCCAGCCGTGTTTAATTGAGAGCGATTGTACGTACAGTTGTTTTTGTTACTCGAGAGCATCAATTACACTCGACGCGATATCGTTTTGTTATTTAATGTTCTAATCTCTTTCTTTTTCTTTCTTTCTTCTTTTGTAGATTAGATATCGAGAAGATTTTTATAAAGATTTGAATAATAAAAAAAATTTGTTTCGAAATTGGTACGTTTAATAAGGAACTCTATACATCTTGAATGACGTGTAAAATGGTAAAATCTTAATAACATATATAAACATTGTGTGTGTGTGTGTGTGCGCGCGCGCGCGCGCGCGTGTGTGTATATATAAAATATTAATCGACGCATTCACGTGTCACGACAAATCGGATATTCTCGCTACTTATCATCCGATGGTTATTGTGGAAAATTTTCGTATATAGTTGACCTAATTTCTCCACTTTATGCAACACGATCCAACATTATCTCGATGGATGGAATAAGCAGTTATCCATGTCTGTCGCATGCCTGTTGTTTCCGATCAAAAAGACGATGTACGCAACTACGTACGTAAAATTAACGCCAACGATTATCGCGCACGCGGCGATCAATTAACGCGGCCTGCAAAATAATATTATTACGCGTGCAATATCGATTGATCGTAACACGTAACGCGGGAGTAATAAATTTCACGCGTCAAACGCGTATCGAGGGAAATATCATTGTAAAAAAAAAAAAAAAAAAACGATCAAAAGTACGTAACATGCGGTATAAAAATTGGGATGGATATCGATCGCGATTTATACATAGATCAACTAACTAAAATTAATCGTGAGCACTGCTGTCGTTGATGCGACAGCTTATGTCGAAAGCTCTTATCGCGCGCCAGTAACGTAGCCACTACGCGACAACGAAGTTAAAGCTATCACAGAAATCTCTATGATCTATGCGCCGATAAGAACGATCCGCGTGGAAAACGCGCGTTATATAAATTTAATCGGTGTTTGTACGGGTGTATAATAAATTTGATCGAATCAATGAAATCGATCAGAACGTATCCATGTGTATGGTGTCCATGCTCGAGAAAACGTTCGAGACGTTGTTGCTACCGCTTTGCGCGTACATCGGCCCGTCGCTTTCGTTTTCCGTCTCCTCTGAAAAGTTCACTAGTACCTGTAAAATTAGAAAAAAGAAGAGCGCTCGATTAAATACTTGATCGCGTAAAATTGCTCGAAAAAAAAAAATGATGAAATCGACGAAATATTACGAATTGGTGGCATTCATTTTTGAGAGAATCGATTCCAAGACAAAAGTCGATGTACAAATCGAAAATAAATCGATCGAGGCTTATTCATAGCTAGAGTTATGAGCAATTTAAATTCGCGTCAAACGAAGCGATTTCATGGCCCCCCCGTTTAATTTCGATCGTCGATTCACTAGTTTAATTTTTGCGTTTTAGAGAAGAGAAAGAAAATGTTGTAAAAGTTATTCCATGAATGCGGCGCGCAACAATTCTTATTTTTCCAGCTACTTGTCGCGCGAGTGATCGGGCGGCGCGATATTCATAGAATTTTTACCGAGAATCGGATCGGGATCATCCATTTTTTCCGTCGTTACGCAAATACGAATCCGTGAATCCATCCAACGCTCTCCAACTTTGGTCCTCGTTGTGCGCCGACGACGAGGGTACGTTCTGTACCCTCTCGATCGTCGATCCAATATACGACGAACACGAGCGAAGGGGGAATAAAAGGAGGAGGAGGAGGAGGAAGAAGGAGAAGGACGGCTCGCTCCTTCGGACGGGGGAAGCAATAAAAATCATGGAAACTCTCACGGAACGAGGCGAGTTTCGCGGTTTACGTACAAGCTCACCCTGGAAGAGGAAAAAAAAACGCACGTCTCGGGTTCGACTCGTTTGCGGCCGGGTTATCTCGCGTTACAGGTTGTGGAAAAATTCCATCGGGGGATGACACCCGACACCATCGATTCCTCGCACCATCTTTATCGCGCTCCTCCACCTTCCTGTTTCGCATTGTTTAAAAATTAAAGTAAGTCTAAGTCGTCTACAGACGATCTCGACGTCGAGGTACCTATGATCGATCGTTAGAGCGCCGTCGATCGGCGTCGATCCCGACCACGAATCCAAAGACGGCAAACTGGGGCCCGTGCGATGAAAAATTAATTATGCATCCCATAGGTGGGAGAGTAGCAAATTATTTTCAACGATCGAAACTAACTGCTCGCGGTTATGCACATATGGAATACACAATACTTAATTAACCGACAAATTCGGAATCGCGCGAAAGTTTAATGTTAACTCTCGAAAACGATGCGTTGAAGATGCGCTCGAAAATCTGGCAAACTCGACGATTAAATTGCCGATCGTTCGATTCTTCCTCGCCGTGTACACCAGAACGAACGAATTTATATCTTAGCTCCAAGGAAAAGGGATTCCACGAAAGAGACTCCTTTTCAATTTCGTCTCTCCCTTCAACGAGAAGAGAAATTCGCGAATCTCTCCCGAGGAACGAACGTCACCCGCGAACGTTGAAAAATGGCTGAAAGAAGAAGCCCGGGTGCGGCGCTTTTAGGGAGCATAAAAATCTGCATATCTGTCTCGAGCGATCTCGAGCCATCCCCGGAAATCGGCCTCCGTGATCCCGCTGTTGCAAAGTGTCGCGTTGCAATTATTCACCAACAAAAAGAAGAAAGGAAAAAGGGGAGAAGAAACGAAGTAGCTTCTCGAAAATTTTTGCTCGACCACCGTTCTCGCGTCGATCGGATTTCGTTTTCAACCTTTGTCTCCCTCCGAGAACAAAGAGAGGGGCGCAATAACCGGTTGGTAAACGGTTGATCCGAGCGAGATCAGAGACGAACCAATAACCAACCAAGAATAAATAACGAAGCAGCCACGCGCAACGGTATAGAATAATACACGATCCCTCCCCCCGATTATTCACCTATTTTCATAATTTCTGAACTGTCCGCTGTCGTTGCAAGCTTAATTAATATTCCCGCGTTATCATAGGATAAATTGTATTTCGCTTTTATCCGCACTCTTTGATCACGAAATCGCGCTTTATTTCAATCACGCACCCCCTCCTCTTCTCACCTCGTCTCAAAACTCTGTCAAAGCAAATGTTTAATTCGTACGAGAATCGATATCGCACGCTCCAAGACGCGTCTCGCTTCTCTCTTTCTTTCTTCTTTCATGGACGCGACGAGACGACGACTAATCGACCGAGCTGTCGAGTGGCTCGACGGAGAAAATATCGGTTCGACCGATTAATCGGGGAACGAAAGAGGACCAAAGAAAGAAGAGAGGAAATCCCTTGGATCGTGAGAGATACATAACAACGTTGATACGAACACGTATACCTCGGACCATTGTATTTCTTTAGAAATTTCTTTATCGTCGAATTTCGTTGTATTTATTCAACTCTTTCGCTCGTATCTTTCTCTCGAAATGTGGCATCGATTTTTTTTCAATAAACACCGTCAAACCAACTCGGCTCGCAGTGAGTAAAAAGTAAACGCGGCCATCTTTCATCACATTTTTGCCGCGGCGGAGAAGTCGTCCGTAACGATTAACACGAATACATTAAGAAAATAAAATTTTCCTGTCTCATAGCGAATCGATCGATAAGTAAGACGAATGGATAAAGCTGAGTTACAGGACACCAATTTCGTAAATTCTTCTTAAAAGAGCAATTATTTCTTCGGATATTTCAGACATATAAATTCGTTTGCGGATCTATATACATACGTATTTTTCTTCGCGTCACGCATTTACGTGATATTAACGAAGACCTAGGGTGTTGGAAAATTAAAGTTATCAACGGTCTTCTTAGACTCTCTCTGCCTCTGTTAAGTTAATCTCGAGGGACGAGGTTTGTGTACGGGTAAACGTAACCGGATCAACAAATCCTGTCACAGCCAAGACGATCCCTGGAATCTTATCTCCGTTAAGAGAGACGGGACGCCCTGGCACGGGACGCGGACAAACGATGCGAACGTGATTCCATTGAACGGTTTCTCGCCAATCTCCCGCTTATTCCATCACCAGCCTCGCCTATGAATTATTTAGGCGTCGCGCGCCATTCCCCGACCGCTGAAAAATAAACTCTCTCTCGTTTCTCGTGGTGGAATTAAAAAGTGCGTCGAGTTTCGAAAATTTCAGACGTAGAACGAACCAAACGATGGAATTCTCGAGATGGAGCAAAGGGTTTCTCCTCCGATCGGGGAGAAAGGATACAAATTTCTAAACGGTGTTTAATTCACAGTCAACGCGAAACTTTTTTAATCAGCGTTCAAATCGGGCCCACGGGTTTATTAACGAGGCCGCTCGTTGGATGAATCCGCTGTTTCTGCGCCAGCCGAAACCGAACCCCGAGGGGGACGCCTTTTTATCCCTCCTCTTCTTTCCCCCCCAACTTCTAATTGCGTTTCACACGGTACACTAACCGCAGCGGTTAGGTAATCTCTCGGAAAATGAAGAAGGAGAGTGAGAAGCGAAGATTTAATCCGCGTCGAAGGACGAAACACACGGCTGCTCGATCGATCGAGGAGAGGGATCGGTCGATTATATTGCGCTTAAATGAAAAATTCCTGCGTGGAGGAGAAGAAGAAAAGAGCGATTAGATGAAATAGAAAGGCGTCGGTCCGCGTGTCTTGCCATTAAAATTCTTGGGGGCACGCGAACGAGATTTAGACTGGAAAGTTATCTCGGATGGGATTGAATCGACCCGTTCCTTCCACGGACGAGGCGTGATTAATTATGAACGCGTTTTGAAACGCAGTGGATGTACGTACGTAGTGGATGTTCGATAGGGCGAATCAGAAAGCATTTAGTCGAGCTTACGTAAGACGAGGCTGAGGCGGTGCAAGATTGGTTCCAGGGCCTTGGTTGGATGAAACCACGGGTTCGAGAGAGAGAGAAAGAGATTGTACGCAAATGCGAGTGTAAGGCAAATCCATTAATATTCCTCGAGGTAGGTGAGACGTAAACGAGGATCGTCCTTGATCGAACGGGCTGCGCATCGACTGTACATCATCCGCTCGAGACAAGAGCGTTGTACATCGGGACACAGTCACCCGGAACTTTATCGATTCGCCTTCGATTCGATACGATGAGCGACTGTTTCGTAAACCTCGATAATTCTATTCCATCGTACGGGATAATACGTTCGGGGAAGTGGAACGAAAAGTTTGTACACGGAAATATTATCGGTTGATGTTCGTTTATAATTCACAGTTCGAAAGTTTTTGGCGTCTAACGCACGAACGAAGTTCTTTTACGATACGAAGAAAACGAAGGTTAAATCGAAGATTTGTTTTCCTTAAAATTCGATCGAAGTTCTCGAGTTTCTTCGAGAATCAATCCTCTGAAGATATCGCGAAATCCTGTCCCATCGCGAGCTATTTCGTCCACGTCCCCTTTCGTTTCGAGTTTAAGGCGAGGCGGAAGAAGTAAAACGTAATTTCTCGAAGCGTGAAACTATGTTCCCCGGACATACGCTTGTAAGTTTTACGATACGTGCCTGATCCAGTGAACTTTGAGTGAGCGTGTAGTCGGTGGCTTTCAGCTCGTCGGCCAACAGCTTCAGCTTATTAAAGCTAACGCTCACGGGCATGTCCTGGCTTCGAGGTATGAGGAGACGAGCCGCGCTGCCCTGCCTCGAGGAGACCACAGCCTGTGGCAAATAGTTTCGCACGGCTTTCCTCAGATCCGTGGCCGTGATTGGCTGGCTGAATCGTAAGAACGCCACGTAACCTTCGCCGAATCTATGAACAAAATTATAATAATAAACGAACGGATCGTCTCGCCGCAACCGAAGATAGAATCGCAGCAATGGAGGCGATAATCGATCGCGCGCGAACGGAAAAAAAATGGAAATAAACCCGGCAACAAAGCTTCAAAACCGTTCCATTTATTCGCTTTTCCGTCCATTTATTACGCGCGTATCAACAACGTGTGTCGATGAATCGTATGCCGTGGGAAAGGGCAGATTAATTATTATTCCGCGGCAAGTGGCGCCTATTTCTCCGTTAATTTACATTTACGACCGTGTATCGGAGAAAGAGAGAATCGATCAAAGTATTTGACAAACCGATCCGATATCATGCTTCGTATAATATGCCGTACATCGAGCAGTCTCTCTCTCTCTCTCTCTCTCTCTCGACGCTCGTAATCGCGTTAATTAAACGTACGTTGAATTTTCCCCGAGGATGGAGAAATATTCGCGATCGCGTCGTAAAAAATTGCGAAACGAACGAGCAACGATCGAACGAGATCTGAAACGAGACTTCGTACAATGGGAAATGTTTCGTTGTTTACTTGGTGAAAAAAAAAAAAAAAAAAAAAAGAAAAAGAAATTGAAACGAGAGGTTCGTTCTTCTTGGAAACGTTTCGTCGAGATTCCGCGAGATGGATTGGCATCCGCGAGGGAATAGATTGCGCGTAGAGTCGCGGCGGTATGCGCGATACATAAACGTGACGAATTCCGTAAAGCGCACGATGCTACGAACGGAAAAAGTAGGAAAAGTAGAACGTAAGAGGGGGGGGGAGAGATTTTATGTCCCTACGAGTCGGCGAGAGTTGCCGAGTCTAAATACTTGTGGCGATTTAAGTTACATTTGCCGAAAAGGAGGTTATATAGATGGCCGCGTGGAAAGAGAAGGGGAGAGGGCGCCTCGATCGCGCAGCTTTGCCAATATGGCGGTGTTATATAGCGGAACGTAATCTCCTTCCTCTCCTTCCGTTCGAATTGGAAATGAATGAAATTTAATGAAATTCCCCACGGTGGGAATTGGATCGTTTCGCGGAGAATGATCGGATGAAATTAAAAATCAATCGACACGAAGGGAACGCGGAACGGCAAATAAATTGTCGAATTTTGTCGGGAAGCTGTTCGCGGGGAGATGAAATCAACACGAACGATCCATTAGTTGGAACAACATCGTTAAAACGCGCTGATCGAAATTAATCCTGTCCGGGATATATATACATGGGGGCCCGCATATCGCGCCCGGAATAATCGAACGTTTCGTTTTGTTAATAGGGTGTTAAATATCGTATCGAATTTTTGAATCCGATTTGTTCGTTCGTTCGAGACGAGAGAGGAGCGGCTCGTACGTAAAAACGATTTGGATAAAGGACTCGCATGGGAAAGAAACTCACTTGTGTTTCAAGTGTTGCGGCGTACCGATACACCTGAGGCCAGCCTTGGCAAGAATACCGACCCTGTTGCACACGTTCTCGCAATCCGCCACGCTGTGCGACGTTAGAATCACGCAACTCTGATTCCTCGTCAGATGTTTGATCGTTTTCGTGACGAGATCTTTCGTGGCGGGATCCATACCGCTATTCGATAAGAAAAAGAAAATATAGGAAAATATAGGAATTTCTTGTTTATTAAATAAGAAAAAAAAAAAAAAAGAAGGAAAAGGTGGTTCTTAATAGACCGTTTTACGAAAATACCTCGTTGGCTCGTCCATAAGAACCACGGGTACCGGCGCCATTACGCTCAAGGCGGTACATAGTTTCCTTTTATTACCTCCGCTGAGGCTGCTCACTCTCTTGTGCGCGTATTTCAGAAGATCGAGTCTCTTCAGCGCGGACTCGACCGCCTGAAACAAACAATTTTTCACGGGGTAATATTAAATTCTTGTAAAGGAGTCGGTACACAACGAAGGAACGAGACAACTGTTGGAATGATGAAGTTGCTCGAGATTTGTTGCTCGTCGCGTGCAATTGTTTGTGTATTTAAAAAAGAATAGGAGAAAAGAAAAAAAAAAAAAAGAAAGAAGGCGATTGCCTGCGCTTTCGAAAAAAAACTTGGCACGAGAAATAATTAAAAACGCAATCCGCGCGGGAGCGAAGAAGCCGTGGGATGGAGGAGAGGGGGCGGAGATAGTTGTTTCGAAGGTGCGGGAGAAAAGTGAAGGAAGGAGAAGGGAAGGGAGCGGGAGCGAAAGTTGGAAGATAAATCAAGCGTCACCTTAGGGACGTTGCTCAACCCGCAAACTTCTCCGTGAATCGTTAGACACTGATGCGGAGTGAGAAAACCGTCGAGGCCGTCGCTCTGTGGACAATAACCGACCTCGCCGTTGCACAGAGGTCCACAACCGACCTCCTTGCCCCTCAAAATTATTCTGCCCGCTGTCGGGATGATCTCCGTGGTCAACATGCGGAACGTGGTGCTCTTCCCGGCACCGTTCGTCCCCAACAGGCCGAAACATTTCCCCGCTTCCAGCCCGATGCTCAAATTTTCTACAGCCACGTTCGTCCCGTAAACGCTCCTGTACTCCTTGCGCAGTTTCACCGTCTGCAACGCGTCGTCCGACATTCCACCCTCCACCCTCATCCTCTCCTTGGACACGTCGTCGTCCTCCTTCACCGCCTCGTACGGGCATCGTTGTTTCTTCAAAATCGGCACGAGTCGACACTCGATCATCAGGTTGAGGGAGAGGAGAACGGCACCGATTGTCGCGAGGAAAACGTAATGAAGGCCCAACAGTTGCCAGCCGAGGGGCGATTGGTACGTGTCCATGTGAAATTTCTCCAGCAATTGGGCGGTGATGTCGTTGCGCGATATTTGCACCAGAGCGTCGCCCAACGCGTATTGGGGAAACACGAGTAGAAGATAGTGCAAAATTTCACGCGCGTCTTCCGCAGTTTTCGTCCTTCCTAGAATATCGAGTACCAGAATGGTGGCAAGGGAGGCTACGCCTATGAACGTGTTAACGCAGAACAGGACCATGTTCGACATGCTCGAGTCGTGGAACATCTTCTCGGCCAGATGCGAGAACGGTATCGCCGCCCACCTTTAAACAAACAAAATTCGAATCGATCGAAGTCGGGAAAGGGAGGGAAAAGGAGCGATCGTTCTTCTATCGATCGCGAAACTTACGCGAACAGGAACAAGAGTAAACAAATGCCTGGCAAATTGTCCCTGGCGACGTACGCGGAGAGGCCAAAGATCTCGAAGACGAAGACGGCCAAACCGATGGAGCATCCGAACACCTGGAACAACCGAGGAAGAAATTCGAATTCTCTTCTGGTGGTTAGAGAACTGTCTAATTTCTTCACTTACGAGAAAGTCCCAAATTAAGGCGGTGATCCAATAGGTGACAGGATGGACGCCGGCCAAGAAGAGAATTCTCTTTTCCTCGGACAATCTTTCTCTCACCAATTCTTTCGAGCCTTGGGCGGCCACCAGGTTGAAAGCGATCAAAAGTACGAGGGCAACGCCGACGTCGGCCACGTGCTGCAATCTGGATCGAAATTTTGACGCGGATCTCGTTAACATCGAATTCGTGGCGCGAAATCGTTAAAGAGGATTAATAGAGGTGAGAAATGAGAGATTGAAATAATGAACGGTGAAACTTGGTCGAAACGATTGGAGCGACGAGATATAGCCGTGTATATAGGCGTCGAGAGTGTTAATTAAAAGTAAACGGAACACGCGCCATTTTATTATTCGCATTTTCCGCTTCATTTTGTCGACACGGTAAGATCAACCTTGTATGCTAATCCTTGACCTTAATTGAATTCGGTTAATCAAAATATAACCGGTAGGCGTTTTTGAATATTCATACGTTATTTCTCTTCTCTCTCTCTCTCT